TTAAAAAGTAAAAATTTTAAAAAGCCCTTTACAAAAAAAGGTTCATCTTTTCCTAACATGTACTACACTTAGTGAAAATTAAGGTAATAAATTATTATCTTTAAGTACCTTGGTCACCAAACATTATCAGTGTTACCTACTAAAATACTGAATCCACACTGGAGCATAATCTCCATGACTCTCCATTGTTGCATGCATGCATTTACCTACTAAGACACTGAATCCACACTGGAGCATAATCTCCATGACTCTCCATTGTTGCATGCATGCATTTACCTACTAAGACAATGAATCCACACTGGAGCATAATCTCCATGACTCTCCATTGTTGCATGCATGCATTTACCTGCTAAGACACTGAATCCACACTGGAGCATAATCTCCATGACTCTCCATTGTTGCATGCATGCACTTACCTACTAAGACACTGAATCCACACTGGAGCATAATCTCTATGACTCTCCATTGTTGCATGCATGCATTATTTCTCTGGCAATATTGTTATAGAGATTTTAAAGTAATAAAACTACTTACTACCTTGATGAACAGTTTCTTTCCAAATAGGAAAAAGGAGGTGAAACATGACACATACAAAATATATTGTCTGCTATGTAGTTGCTAAGACTGACTCCAAGTATCAATACTACTAAGCTGTTAAAAAGATTCTACAACAGCCGGGCGGTGGTGGCGCACGCCTTTAATCCCAGCACTCGGGAGGCAGAGCCAGGCGGATCTCTGTGAGTTCGAGGCCAGCCTGGGCTACCAAGTGAGTCCCAGGAAAGGCGTAAAGCTACACAGAGAAACCCTGTCTCGAAAAACCAAAAAAAAAAAAAAAAAAAAGATTCTACAACTGCCCTACATCTGTTCTCTAGTTTTGTGGTAGAAGCTATTTGTTCACCTGTCTTACATTAATCATTATCAAATTATCACTAGTCTCTGTTATAAATAGTAACACAATTAGAGAACATTAGAAAAAGAAACATTAAATACTAGACTTGGGTCACCAAGACTATATAATTTTCCTTCCCTACAAATCTACACCAGATAATGACAAGTAATATATTTATTCTTAGAGGTACATAATCTTCAACATAAAATGTTTCAATATAGGGTTGGAGAGGACTCAGTGCTAAAGTTGCTTCTGCCAAGCCTGGCAGCTGAGTTTGTACCCCAAGACTCACGTGGTAGAAGAGAACTGACTTTTGAAAGTTGCCCTCTGACCTTCACAATGCTCCATCCATTACACCACACACACACACACACACACACACACACACACACACACACAAAATAATTTAAGATGTACAATCTAGTTATTTTCTTGATGAAATAACAGTATAACTGAAATAACAGTATTACTTGAATCCCATATGATTCAAGATAGTCATGCAAAAAAGAATGCCATTGTTAAACATTTCCTTTTCTTTTATAATTCCAAGAAAGTTAATTCATATGATAAGCTGCACAGACTGTACAATATTTGATAAATCCATAACTAAAATGAAGATCAGAAAAAATCCAGGGAATGGAGAGTTTCAGAGAACAAATACCGTCATTCAATTGGCAACAACAATGTCATAAAGAAGGCAATTAAAAACTTTAGAAGTGACAACACAGTATTATTCAGACACACTGCAAAATGTTTATAGAGGTAGACCACATTCCACATTTCCCACTACCTTTGTAAACAGATTTAGATAAAACACTTAAAATTACCATTGTGAATTTGCAAAGAGACTTTTTCTCCCCTACTCCAGCCTTGAAATTGAGATCCTTCTTTTCCTCAGCCTGCCTACTGCTGAGGTTATGGACATACACCATCATGTTCATCACCAAGGCATTTTCATAAAACATTCCTTCTACCTTTAAGAAAGTCACAAACTGCCCAGTGGTGGTAGAGCACACCTTTAATCTTTGCACTCCAAAGGTAGAGGCAAGCAGGTCTCTTAGTTCGAGGCCATCCTGGTCTACAGAGTGAGTTCCAGGATGGCCAGGGCTACACAGAGAAATCCTGTCTCAAACTGTTCCCCACCCCTCAAAAGAAAAGAAAACCACAACTAGCTGGATGTGATGGCACACCTGTAATCCAGCAATTGGGATAAGAAACAAAGCAGGACAAAGAGTTTATGGCTAGCTTGGGCTACATAGCCTTGTCTAAAGAAGAAGAAGAAGAAAAAGAGTCAGAAATTAGAACTTGCAAGAATCACAGTTTCAAGTTTAGCCTTTCAATTTACTCTAAAACTCAGGAAAGAATCATTCATAGTAAAATTGTTCTAAAATCCACGAACTCGAATGACATAGCTTTACTTTTGGAGGATTGTTTTTCCCAATGTTCAAGATCACAAGAAATGTCAACCCATAGAATTAAGCTGTTTGTAATAATATCAACTATTCACAGATTGGTGGCTAGTGCTATTTCTACTGATTTTTCTCCATGCTTTTAGGTTCTATCATAGCAAGTAATACTGTATTTATATCAGTAATTCTTCAAGAAAAATCCCTAGTTATTTCTGATTCAAATATCCATTTTATCATCAAATCTTACTGTCCCGTTACCCCTTCATCTAAAGCTGCAGCTTCTTTTCATTCTTCAGCTACACCCTTATGGCTGGCCTTAGACTTTTCCTCCCAGACAACTGTACTCCATTCTCATGAGCTGGCTCCTCTAAATTGTCTTTAACACCACTGCCAACCTTATCTTCTCTCCTTGACATTATGCCACCTACCTCTTCCACCTGGGCTTTTCAAGGCCTTTATGCTGCATTTTTATTCCGCTCGAGAGCCTCATCTTCAATCACATATTTATTTATAAGGTTGCTGCCACTGACTTTCAACTCCCCTTTAAAATGCCAGTTTCTTCTTGACCCTATTAAATGCACTAAATTTTTCCTTCAGGTAATCATATTTTCTGCTAATCAATTTGAACACAGAATCCCTTTAGCATTTATAGGCACTGTATTTAGACAACTTTTATACAATAATGATGCACCCTTTCAACTGTTCACTTATCAATGTTATTCCTATCAGAGCGTAGTTAGACAAGGGTTGTATCTTTCAAAGCACTCTGCACAACACCTATGCACCATCACTTGACTAAATTAAGTTAATTAAATAAAAATACAGGGTAAGAATCAATAAACAAAACATGCTCTTTAAAAATAAACCCTACAGCTTAACTTTTAAACATCCAGGGACTTTCAATTTCCACAGACAGCGAACATATTTTGGTTTCTATAAAATTTCACTTTCAGTCGACTTAATTTTCAAAGCATGGCCAACATTAACAGTTGACAGTTGATAAAAGGTATGCACTTTTACATCACACTGTCAGATTCTTTTAAAGTCCACAAGATCAACTCTAAGAATTGTGAGCTACAACTGAGTTTTCATACAAGGAAACAGTTGCAGCAGGAAAAGATGGACTTTATCTGCATATTCTGATGTGAGGGGGATGTCCTTCTCTGCAACTGATTTAGATTAGTTTCTTTACTCCAGAGGCTTTGACTCAGGAAAATTCAATAAACTGCTCTTAACATCTGCAAAGATATCAAGGAAAGGATATCCAGCTACTAAAAAGGGGAAACCGGAGCAGTGGGTATCCTCTTTTCATAAAAGTCAGCAGCTAAATTAAGCACTGTAGTCGGTATCTGCTGGCAGAATCAAAGATTTGTTTCTACCCAATAATAAAAGCAAGTTTCATTCCATTTAGTTCCTTCCCGAGCATCATCTCAACCTGTCAGAATTCGACAAGAAGAAAAAAATTTAAATGAAGTAGGAAAGACGCTAGGATTCCCATCTACATTGCTTCTTTTTCCGAAATCACACCACTAAGTCTTGGATTTCCTTTACTCCAAACTAAGCCTCAGCCTCCAAATATAATTCTTTAACCCCCGCTTCTCCATTCAATTACACTTAAACCATGCCAACCACAGAACCACAGCCGAAACCCCTCCAAATAGGCTTGCTGTTCATCTTAGAAGTCATGCCCTGCAGCAACTGCCTATCTCCAAACTCAGGGATATCTCCCAAACACAACGCAATGGAATCAGACATGCAAAGCACACACGACTTCTGCGAGGGAGGGAAACGCGACCCGAGAAAAGTGCGCTCTTCACCACCAGTCTCAGGACCATCTACCGGGGCGTGGGGATTACGAGGCAAGGGTCCCAAAAGGGAGGGGGAGAAGAGAGCCCGACTACTCGGGGAATCCTTCCTTCTTCAGAAAAAAGGGCTGGATTTCCCGGCCACGGGAAGCAGCCGGTCCTCGCTAAGGAAAAGAGGCAGAGAGAAGCGAGAGGGCCCTGGGCTAGGAAAAGCAGAAGGCAGGCACTTTCCGGGGTCCCGGACTATAGAGCCTATCACCTGGCTCCCGGGGAGGAGGTGAGCAGTGTCCCACCGGCTGCCGAGGGGACACCCTGCCTGCGAAGGGGCAGCAGAGGCGGAGCAGAGTTTCCCCTGCCGAACCCGGGAGTCGTGTCGGGCAGGTGCCCCGGGGCCGCTGTGTGGGGGGTGGGGGGGAGGGGAGCAAAGGGGGTGGAGATGGGATTCCCCCCTCTCGGGGAGAGCTTTAGTGGAGGAGGCGCCCGGCCAAGCCCGAGCAGCGTGCTTCAGACTGCGGAGCCGGGATCCCGCCGCCCGCACCGGCAGCGCGGAGCCCCGCAGCGCCCGCCGCACCGGCCCCTCGGTCCCCCGGGGGCCGGAGACTTTGGCGGCCAGGGCTCTGGGGGGCCTGACACCCCTGGGGCCTGCCCCAGCTCCCCCGGGAACCCCCGACTCCCCAGCAGCTCTCCGCGGTTGTAAAATACACCCCCCCCCGCGCACGCACACACACACACACACACACACACACACACACACACACCCCGGTTCCCCCTCCTCAGCCTGCCCTCTTCCCCGAGGGCCGCAGGGGAAGCACCACCCCGGGCGAGAAACCTCCGGCAAGTGGAGGACAGTGGCCGTGGCGGGGCCCCCCCGGACCTCCTCCTCCCCGCCCGGTTTACCTGTGAGGACTCCGACACGGATTTGATGGTCGTGGTTGGTGAGGATCATTCCCTCGGTCGCCATGTTTCCCAGCGCAGTCACCGCACTGACAGGAGCCGGGAGAAGCCGGAGCCCGGAGCGCGCGGGCCGGGAGCGCGCTTGCCTCGGAGAGCGCGAGAGCGGGGAGCGCGAGGCGAGCGGGAAGGAGGGGGCCGAGCGCCCGGTGGCCTGCGTGGGGCGGGGGGGGTGGGGGGAGGGGGGAGCGGGCGGGCGGGGAGGGAGGGGAGAGGCTGGAGCGGGAGGGGGGGGGCCGCTGAGGGAGTGGGGGGGAGGGGGGAGGAGGAGGCCGCGCCAGGAACGCGCGGGTCCGCGGAGGGGGGCGGAGTCGGGCCGCGCGACCCCGAGTCCGGAGGGGCAGCGGCGAGCCCCGGGGGGGTGGGAGAAGCGGCGGCCCGGCTTGCCTGCTTGCCTGCCCTGCCTGAGCGACAGCACACGCGGAGGCGGCGGCGGCGGCGGCGTTGAGGGCCAGGCCGGCGAGACCCCCGAAGCTCTGCGGAGCGAGACCCGAGACGCCTGGATGAGCAAGAGACTTGAGGGGGGAAAAGGGAGCACACGCTCCGGAGGTGGCGGGGGCGGGCTCGGTCGGGGACAGGGGCGGAGCTACACCCCGAGGCGTGCAACTCGTGGAGAGTGAAGGGAGGAGTGCGGAGAGGCTCGGCTCGGCTCGGCTCGGCGGCGGAGTGCCGCCGGGAGCGGGAAGCCGGCGGCCCAGCCTGAGTGGGGGGCCGGGGAGACGCTCCGGGGCGCGCGAGGAGCGCGGGATTGGCCGGGCGGACGCGGTGCGGGGACGCGCGAGGCACGGAGGCGGCAGGCCTCGGCGGGCCCCAGACAGAAGCAATCCCCCGCCGAGCCTGCCGCCTTCGTCAGTTCTCCGCCCGCCTCAGGCCGGCTCTCCCCGCCGCCGTGGAGCCTCTCTTGGACTCGGCGCGGTAGCCGCGAGCTGGGCTCGGCTCCTTTGAAGGCGCGGGTGAACCTGGAGGTGGCTCGGGAAGCGGCACGGGTGGCAGGACCGTGGCCACTGGGACGAGTGTCTTCTCCCCGGGGCCGGGGACGGGTTACCCTGGGCCGCCTCAGCGGTGACCCGCAGTCAGCTCGCTCGGACAGGATTCCGGTCTCCCTTCGCTTTAGCCCCCGAGACCGCCTGCCAGACCACGCACGCCGAGGAGGAAAGCCTCGGCTGCGTCTGCCGCAGGGGCACGTGGAGTGGAGCTAGTGGCTTTCTCTCTCTCTCTCTCCGCCGTCCCCTGCTTCTGGCCCTAAGCATCCCAGCCACGACCTATGCTTTGGGGTGGACTGCAGCCATCTGTTTAGAGTGAGGGCGGGCGTCACACACTTTGAACCACGATCAGTTGCCATGGCATTCAAGTTTCATTTCAGGATTTGTGGACTATGAAATTACCATGAAAACGTGGTCATTTAGTCCAGTGTCCACTTCATAAACTATTATTAATCACCTCTAACTATCTTATGTAGGTTTGCCCTTTAATGACTTTAAGTGTGTTTATGGTTTCTCATTTGCTCACTATAGGAATTTTTTAAAAACTGTCAAAAATGTTTTAATAATCCACACTCAAACACAAAATCTCAGAGTTGGTTTGATGGTTATATGGGGTTTCTGGTGTTCCCGCTTGGAACATAATATTACTCATCTGTTCACTGAAGATCCACATTGTGTCTTTAAATAATAGAGTACAAAAGAGATGATGGATGGAATTGAGGAAGGATAAAATAATGAAGTTTTTGGAGATATGTATAGCTAGTATTTCTGACAGTGGATTAAATTTTTAAGCCAGATCATGAACTCAACCTCCCATAATTGTTACCAAAGACCCTGGCAGCAAAAGAAGTTCTAACTGGTTTCAAAATGAATCATCCAAACCAAAGATGAAATAAAGTAGTTGGTTACATCATAAGCTTTCAAGCCTATTTTATTCTCTGTGGTACATGCAAATTCTATATGACTCGAAAAGTTTAATATTTGGAAATAACTTCTAAACTTGCCCGCTGACGGATTCCTTCAAACTTTAAAGAAGGTAATAGAATAAATGAGCACCCCCTCCAACTTAGAATATATTCGTTTTTCATGGGAAAGTTAGCTAGCACTTTCGCAAGTCAACAACAGAACCAAGGGACTTTCTGCGTCCATGGAAGTTGTAATGGTGAATTACATTAATTACATTTCTGTGCTCTGGCTTGAACTCAGGGCCTCACACACACTAAGTAGACACTCTACCACTGAACTATGTCTCTAATGTAAGTCATTAAAGTGTGTCCGAGTATGGTGAATATGAAGGAAATCTTCAGATACATGGATTGTTATATTTTATTAAATATTAGTACTAAAATTATGAAAAGTAATGAAATTAGGTAATTGTAGTAGATGCTTGTCTTCCAGTTATTTTGTTCAATATGTATATTTCTCTCCCAAATTCCATAAGCTTTAACAGTTGGAATTTATGCAGGAAAAACTTTACTGTCCCCAGTTCCCACAATTTTGCTTTCTGTGGTTTCAATTCTCCCCATATCTAGGGTCCAAAAATATTAAATAAAAATTCCTCAAGTTAGAGAGTATATATGATCATATCTCGTTGTATACATGTATGATATTCTGGATAAAGAAAATTAAAGAAACAAAATGCCTAAAGGTACATCATTCAAAAGTTTAAAATGCACGCCATACCTAGTGTAACGCAATCACATGTAATTCCATTTGGTCCTGCCTGTACTGTGAATCATCCCCCTGTCCAACCTACCTAAGCAACGCATCCCTCAGTCACTGAGTATTCATCTTGGTCATCAGAGCAGCTGTCCCAGTACCAAGTGCTTAGTGGTAATTCAGATATGCCAAAGAGAAGCTGTAAAGTGTCCAGTAGTGAAAAGGCGAAAGCTGAGGTTACTAAGGTGTGCAGTAAAAACTCATAAGGAAAATCGATGTAGGATTTGATACTGTGAGATTTCAGGTATGCATTGGGAGATGAGAAGTGGAGTTGCTATATTATAGTCTATAGACTTTCACTACTGTTACAGTATAGAAGCATCCCAAAATTCATTCTAAAATGAAGTATCAAGGTAACTTTTCTGGATGGTAGAAGAAAAGTAGCAGTTTCAAATATTAACAGTTTGTCTCAGGAAACTCATATGACCAGGGAAAAGTTGAATTTGAGAAACAAAAAAGTTGAATGTGTTTGTAAGGAATTGAGTTGGCCCTTTTACTGTGAGTATATAGATTTAATATTTAAAAATGAGTTTGTCATCTAAGACAACATAGAAGGTAAATATATAGAGTTTCATTATGAAGGTGAAAAATTGTATTTATCAATAGGAGCCAAATTTGAAGGGTTGTTTCTAGTAGTAGTATATTTACACTTTACTAACTCCTACTTTTCCTGTAATTTATCAAAATTTCAATATAAGTAAGGCAAAATTTTACTGGGCTTTACTGGAGTCAGAAAATACTCAGCCCTAGATACTATCAAAAATTACTTTGAGACTGTATTATACTTCCTCTAAGGCTTTGTTCACTCTTGTCTTTTCTGACTGGCTAATGCCCAGAACTAAAACTGACTCAATTAAAAATGTGTGCAAGCGCCCTTTCAAAAAATTTGATACCACTAAATTGTGTACTTTACAATGGATAAAATGGTGGAAATTGTATGTATTTTACTACAATGAGAAAGTTAGGTACAAAGTGAAGCTTTGATTTTAGCCCGTATTTTTACAAAGAAAGTTAAATCATCAAGATGAACTTCAGATTGGCTAACTTAGGCATTGCATCGCTATCCTAGGATTACCATAACAAAGTACCATAAACTATGGTCTGAAATAGCAAATTTATATCTCACAGTTCTGGAGGCTAGAAATCTAAAATCAAGTTGTTAGAGCTATGCATCCTCTGATAACTCCAGGGAGAGACATTTCTTTGCCTCTTTTAGTTAGCTACTCACCCAGAAGATGGGGATCAACCAACTACATCTTTACCAAGTGGGCTGAGGTTGAAGGAGAATGGACCTGGGTAAAGCTAATTCCTTGATAACTTATCAGTTAGGTGGACTCTTCTTCCAGACCTTCTAAATTAGCTACTTTCCTCATTGCAGAAACAAAATAACAGACAAAGGCAACTTTCGGAAGTGTTTATTTGGGCTCATGGTTTGAGAGTAGCAGTCCATCATGGTAAGGAAGTAATAGTGTCAAGAGCTTGTGGCAGCAGGTTACATTGTGTCTTCAGTCAGGAAACACAGGTGGTACTCAGCTAACTTTCTGCTTTTTCAGTCCAGGACCCTAACCCAGCAAGTTACAATGGGTCATCTCAACAGCTCTACTCTTCGTGTTTTAAGGAACACCATAGTTTCTCCAGTAATAGATCTACTAGTTTTCTTTCCTACTAATACTGAGTTCCCTTCTCTTTATATGTCCACCAGCACTTACTACCTTTTGTCTTTTTGATAACTGCCAGTCTATTTGAGTGAGCTATATCTTATTATGGTTTTAATTTTCATTTATCTGCCTTATTATATATTTGTTGCCCATTTTCAGATCTTTTGAATATCTAATCAAGTCTTTTCCATGTTTCTAACTGCATTACTTGGGTCTTGCTATTGAATTGGGTTCCTTATTTATTCTGGATGGTTAATCTCTTGTCAGATGTACAGTCTTCACATATTTCTCCTGTTCTATAATTTTTTTCTTCCTCTATTATTCAAAAGTCCTTGCCTAGTATACTGTTGCAGAACGTTTCCTCTATCCTTTCTCCTGTAGTAGTTACATAGTTCAGCCTCCTTTTCTTTTAATGGTTTTTTTTCAAATGCTCATAGTTTCATCAGTTTTTCATTACATTGTGTGTGTGTGTGTTTGCATTTGCATATGCATGCATACCACAGTAGAGAGATCAGAGGACAACGTAAAGGAGTTGTGTTCCTTTCACTACATAGGTCCCAGGGATCAAACTCAGATCCTTAGGTTTGGCAGCAGACCTTCTACCCACTAAGCCATCACCAGCCCCCACATCAATTATTGAAGAGAATGTTCCTTCCCCCAGCTTACGTCCTTAACAGGGTTATCAACAATGAGGCGGCTGTAGATGTAGAGATTTGTTTCTAGGCTCTCTGTTCTGCTCTGCTAGTCTCTGTGGCTATTTTTATGTCAGGATCATGCTGTTTTGGTTACTATAGATTTGTAGTAT